AGGAAGGAAGGAAGGAAGGAAGGAAGGAAGGAAGGAAGGAAGGAAGGAAGGAAGGAAGGAAGCCATGATGCCCTAAATCACATTACACGCAGAACCCATTTCTAGTTGAACTATATAGATCTAACTTGAAAAGAAAAGAAAAGAAAAGGACCTTCATAACCTTGGGATAGGGATAGATTTCTTAAACCAAAGGCGCAAAAAGGCTAATCATAGGTGAGAAAAGAATACATTGTATGTCAATAAATGTAACAATTCTTTATTCTAATTGAGTAGTGGTAGCACAGGCCTTTAATCCCAGCACTTGGGAAGCAGAGGCAGGTAGATCTCAAATTTTGATGCCAGCCTGGTCTATAGAGTAAATTCAGAACAGCCAGGGCTATGCAGAGAAACCCTGTCTCAAAAAAAAAAAAAAAAAAACAAAAACAAAAAGCAAAACAAAACAAAAAAAAACAAAACAATAAAAAAAAAACCCAAGAATTGCTTATTCCTCAAAAGATACCACTAAAAGGCTCAGGCAACGTTACAGAGTAGAAGAAATTATTTTCAACTCAATTCATAAAGTACATACACAACCAGAAGTCTCATATCCAGAATATATAAAGACCAATTTAAGAAAAAGGCAGAAAACCCAATAGGAAAACAAGACCTCCACTTAACCAAGCAGAAACTTAACAAATGAGAAAGGAATATTTAACTTTGTTAGTCATCAAGGAAGTCAGTTATAATGTCACATTCATTCCATTCATTCTCACCCCTCTCTCTCTGTCTCTCTCTGTCTCTCTGTCTCTCTCTGTCTCTCTCTCTCTCTCTCTCTCTCTCTCTCTCTCTCTCTCTCTCTCACACACACACACACACACACACACACACACACACACACACAAATATAGCTAGAATGAAAGACTGATAATACCAGTGTGGCAGTGTGAATAAGATGTCCCCCATAATCTCCGGCACTTGAATACTTGGTCTCCAGTTCATGGCAGTTTGGGGAGGACTAAGAGGCATGGTTTTGATGAAAGAAGACTCCTGCTTATGTTGGTCAACTCTGTAATACCAGCACTTGGGAGGCTGAGATAGGAAAATTCAAGGCCAGCCTGGGTTGCATAGTGAATTTAAAGTGAGTCTGGGCGACATAGCAAGACCTTTTCTCAAAAATAGGAAAAAACAAATGAACAATCAGAAAACTGGTATACATAATAAACATATACATCATTTTTGAGACTGGCCCAGACTGGGCTCAAACTCATAATCCAGCTGCCTCTACCTCCTGAGAACAACATATATAAATTTTACTTGTCAATTGCAGCTTAGTAAAGCTTTGAAAGTAAGAGTTTGAAGAAACCAAATCTATACATGGTTAAAAATAAAAATCCTTTCAAGGTGATTATTTTTAACTTTTTGAAAATTTTTGAGATTATAATTCCAACCTTTTACTTTCCTTCCTCCAGACCCTCCCCTATACCCCTTCCCACTTTTCTTCAAATTCATGGACTCTTCTTTCATTAGTTACTGCATATAGAGACAGAGATCAAGATAGAGAGATAAAGAGAGAGAGAGAGAGAGAGAGAAGAGAGAGACAGAAGGGGGGGATAGATTCTTAAATATAATCTGTTTAGTCTGTATAATGTTGTATTATACTGTATGTTTTCAGGGTTTACCTTTTCACACTAGACAACCAATTGTTGTAAGAAAGATCATCTCTGTAGTTCCCAGCTTTCCTTAGTTGCCTATAGCCCTTTGTAAGGTTGAGTGAGGCCTCATAGGCTTTTCCCTGCCCACTCTGGCATGTCCATTGGTATCATTCTTGTTCAGATCATGTTTGGGCAGTCATGTTGATAAGCCTTATATGAATGTAGCTTCTGACATTATTAGGAGACACAATCTCACAGCAAAATTCCTGATCCTTCTCTTCTTAAAATCTTTCTACTCCTTCTGCAAGTTCTGTAAAACTTGGGTTGGGAGTGTTTTGTAGATGTAGCCATTGGAACTAGGCTCTACAGGCTTGCATATTGATGGGTTGTGCTTTTCTGTAATGATCTCCATGTATTTCAAAGAGAAGTTTCCTTAAGGAGAGGTGAAGACTACACTTAACCTGTGAGTATAAAGACAAATGTTTATAGATTGTTGCTAGTCATTATGCTGGTTTAGTAAGGCAGTGGTTGTAAATTCCCTCTAACAACTGTGGATTCACTAGGACCTAGTAGTTAACTAGGTTTCCAGTACCAGGCATGGTTCTCTCGTTGAGCAGGTCTTGAGAACAAGTAGAGGACTGTTGGTTACTGCCAAAGTATGTGTACCAGCACTGCACCCTTAGGGTTATCTCGCCATACTGGTTGATACAGTTTGTGGGTATAGTACTATTGGTTGCCTCCATTATTTAGAAGCTTACATGGTGCCTACTGGTTCCATGAAAGGTAGTCCTCAAAAAGTAGGGATCCAGGTCAGCTGAAGTTCAAGAGTCTCCAGGCCCTGTTTCTGAAGTACATGGTGTCTTCAGCAATAGAACTTACCTTCCATCTCTAGGGAGCAATCAAGGACAACAACAATAGGTTGCATATTTTAGGAGTGTCTTGGACAGCTCTGGCCAACAACTCACAAAAATGTTTCTCATGCCTGGTATTTGTGGTCTTTGACTCTTGGAGTACACCATTAACCGGTATAAGGAAAGTCCATTAAAATTATAGATGATATTAATACACACAATTACATATATTATAGATTTTTTTCCAAATGAATAGTTAATAATATGTTTCTGGGTAGCTTTTTCAGACATCCTTATTTCACCCTCCTTCTATATTACTTCCTCTTCCCTAAAGAGCCTTTGGATCACTTTTATCCTCCTTCTCTCTTCCCTACTTCCCTCTTCCCAAAGAGCCCCCCCTTCCCATTTCCCTAGACAGATGACTTGTATCCCTCCCTATTGTTCCCCAGCCTCTCTATCCTGCAAAGGGTTCTGTTTTACTTTCCTGGTTTCTGTAGTTACCACAGGTTATATACTTGCATCTGAAGATTTG